TAAAATGAGCTTCCTCCACCCTATTCAAAGAAAATTTTATTGACACACATCTTGTTATAATAAACTTAAACTTTATGACGGAATTTGAATGAAACACTTGACGACAAGTAGACTCAAGTACAATTGTCATTCTATCTCCAAATTGAAGGTGAGATTGAGCCACTAAACTTGGATCTACAAAATTAGGATTTGTTTGTTTAGGGCACGTTTCCATAACTATTTCATTTTTTATTTTTAGTTTTTAATTTTTGTTGTATGATAACAAATTCAATTTTCTGTTTTGTATTTTTCAAAAATCATTTTGAAATTATAAAAAAAATTAGTTTTTTCAAGAAGAGGTTTTTCTTTTTCAAGATTTTTTCTTCTAATACTCAACTTTTTTTTCATTCTCGTATTTATCTCTAAAAAAATTATTTCTCATTCTAAATTTTTTTATTTCTAAATTTATCTCTACAAACTTTATTTTTATCTCTCTAAAATTTTTATATTTTCAGTATTTATTATTATTTGTCTCTCCAAATTTTTCTATATTTTTTTTCTAACTTCATTTTTCCCTCTAAAAATTTAATATTTTTCCTAATTTTGTTCTCTCTAAAATATTTTATAATTTTTATTTCTCTTCGTAATCTATTTTTCCTTTGAAAATTATATTTTATCGTTCAATTGTCTTTCACTATAATTTTTATTTATCTTTGTATTTATTTATTTTCTCTAAAAATTATATTTTGAATCTTATTTTTATCTCTAAGTTTGTTTCCACTCTAATTTTTCTATTTCTTTATAATTTTTTTAACGTATCTTTTTCTCTCGACTTTATTTTTGTTCTATATAAATTTTCTCTTTTTGTTTTAACTTCTATTTCACTATTTTTTTTCTAAATATTTTTAGTTATCTATCCAAAATTTATTTTCCAAAAGTTTATTTACATCCTTCTAAATTTTATTTTCATATATGGGAAAGACAAAAATTACTGTAAGTCGGGTCCCAAAAATAGGAAATGCATGTCCTGACCTCGTCCTCCATTTCTTTTTTTAAATAATTAATATATATTTATTACACTTTTTTATACTTAAATTATAAAAATAATTGAAAACAATTATACAAACGATAATTTTTCTCCATAACGTCTCTCGAACCCAAAAACGGGACAGATACGGAGACTAAAAATTTTCATTCGCACGAGAATAAGTGAGAGCATCCTCACCCGCACTCACATCATTGTCATCTTTACTCTACATAAAATTTTATCTCTTCAATTTTCTAACTTTTTAAAAACAAAAAACAAAAAATATTTAGCAAATATGTTTTGTTTTTCTGTTTTTTAAAAACAAAAAGTAAAACATTGTTATGTTTTTATTTTTTAAAAACATAAAACCAAAAACTAAAAACTAAAAACAAAAAAAAACTAAAACAATAACTAAAATGGTTATCAAACGTCCTAACCATTCAGATTATGTTTATTGTTTTCAAATTCACTAAATCAAATGGTTTCAGTGAGTATGGGTTTGACCACATTTGTCATCTTTATTTTTTAAAATGCATAATTATATCAAAAGATAAAAAATATAAAAGTTTTGATAAATATATTATTTTATATTATAAACTCATTTTGCCGTGGTTAAAATCAAAATATTTAAAATATAATATAATTATATTATAAGTTATATAACATTGAAAAATAATAATTGTACAAAATTTATTAAAAAATGTTAATAAATTGATTAATATTATTTTAGATTAAACTAAATATTTAGTTGATAATGTTATTAGTCTACAATATATTTCTAATTAGGTTGCAACGAAATCAATTTTCAAATTTAAATTCATATGTTGATTAAATTCATTATTTCCTGATTTTTGTTTTAACCAAATAAATGAATTTTGGAGATTTGTTGGAGTTTATAAAATATGAAAAGGAGAGAAAAAATTACTACTTTTTCTATTTATTTTACTTTTTTTTTTGTTTGAGAATACTATTTATTTTTCTTTTAAGAAATAATATTGTTTTGTAATAAATGTATGAGCTAAATAATAACAATAATAATATATGGGTTTAGAATAAACCCTAGCCCCCTTGTTTCTTTTATTATCTCCCTCTCGCAAGCTTTCAGTTTTAGCCGCACGCCCTCCGGCGTTTCTCTTCTCCCTCTCTCGTCCGCTATTCACCGCCGCCTTTGTCCTCCATCTCCGGCGAAGCAGCACGCGAGCGGCGGCGACCTGTAAGAACTCACCACGCGCCTTTCCCCAGCGACGGCGGCAACGGACGACGTGAACTCCCCAAGCAGCCGCGGCGGTTCAACCCAGACAGCGGCAATCTATTCCCTTAGACGACGTTCGGCAGTGACCTTTCCACACTGAGCCAGCGAAGACCCGAGCCGTTCGGTAAGGACCAATCGGTAACGGCTCGTTTAAACCCTGTTTAGTTTGTTTAAAGTGTTCCAAACCAAATCCTAACTCCGAAATCTTATATCTTTTGTACAGGAATCAGTTGATTGAGCTTGGGTGTCTCGCCGCCGTGAATCATGTTGAAAGTTAGAACTCCCAAAAATGGAAAAGTTAAACGAGAGCTGGAGAAACGCGCTCCCAAACTTGTAAGTTCTTCCATTACCGAGTTTGTTTGTAGGGTAGTCTAGAGTTTCGGGTGAATGACTAAAAGCATGTTAAAGAAGTTTGTATGACTTATTAATTGTTTTTTTTCCTGTGTTGTTGGATTGGGTTATGGATTTGCTCCGCAGGTAGAAACGGGGAAGAAGACGCTGATACTTCATGGTACAAAAACGAGCAGCGTGCTGAATGCAGTATTGACGGAGATTTATCACCTGAAGAAAGAAAGCGCTGTCAAGTATTCTCGTAAGAATGATGGAATTAAACCRTTTGAAAGTGGCGGCGATGCATCTTTGGAATTTTTCTCTCTGAAAACTGATTGCAGCCTCATCGTGGTTCGTACAATTTGTGCTTAATTTTCTTTGAACTATATTTGCTTAGTATAGTAGACGGTATTCTAATAGGCATCTTAATCAATTTATTTAGCTTATTGTCTAGGAGTTCTGCAGTGAATGCTTTTTTTTTGTATTCTATTTTACATTTCAGTTTTGCATAGGAAGCTGGTTTCTTTGTTCTCTTCATTACAAATGAAGAGCTATTTGATCTAGAATTAGTTCTAGCTGCGTAGAATTTCCTTTTAGATTAATTTTTGTTGGGGTGAATGCTTCTAGTTTTTCCCTAATTAAACATCTCAAATGATCGATGAACTTAGCAGTTCTCAAATGGATGAACCTTTGTGAAAAAGTATAACCATGATGTGCTTTTTCTTTGGGCAAGGGTACACAAAGAATTTAGGGAACTTCAGTTTAGGAGCCATCCTATTTATGAATAGGCAAATCTCTGTTTGTATGAGTAAAAATTTTGCAACCTTTTTCCTCTTAATGAGAACATGTACATTATTTTGTTCAATCTATGTCAAGGGGTCAAAATACTCCTCTTCTTGCTTTCTTGTTTTGAGTTCTCTGTTGATGTATTTATTGCACCTCTTTGCAGTATGGTTCTCACTCAAAGAAGCGACCCGATAACCTTGTCATAGGGAGAACCTATGATCACCACATCTATGACCTTATCGAGGTTGGGATTGAAAATTTCAAGTCAATGCATTCCTTCGCATACGATAAGAAACTAGCTCCAAAAGTGGGGTCGAAGCCTTTCATCACCTTCATTGGTGAAGGATTTGAGAGCGTAGAAGAGCTGAAGCATTTAAAGGAAGTGTTGCTTGATCTATTTAGAGGAGAGGTAAAAATCCTTATGCTTTGACTGACTTGAGTGAATGGTCAGATATAAAGATATGTATGGTTTTTGCAGGTTGTAGAGAATTTAAATCTTGCCGGATTGGACCGTGTATATGTATGTACAGCCATCTCACCAAATAAAGTATTTCTCACTCATTGTGCATTGCGATTGAAGAAGTCAGGTACACTAGTCCCAAGAATGGAACTAGTTGAAGTCGGTCCCTCAATGGATATGGTAGTTCGCCGCCACCGACTTCCTAGTGATGGCCTAAGAAAGGAAGCCATGAAAACAGCCAAGGATCAGGCCAAGAAGAAGGTCTAATGGCTATCTTTTTAGATAAATGCACTTCATTTGTGTCTACTAAGTTGTTTGTCTAATCTTGATGTTTATTTCTTCCAGGAGAAAAATGTCAGCGTGGATGCAATTCAAGGCAAGATTGGAAGGATATATATTCCTGATCAGAAGGTATGCACATCTCTCTATCTCTTTCTGTACTTGTGTTCTCTTCACTCCTTTTGCTATGTCGGTCATTTGACTAGTTTTGATACTCTTTTCTGGCCTCATAGGTTGGAGAAATGGCTATACCTAACAAATCGAAAGGAGTGAAGARAGAACGCCGTGAAGCGAAAATGAAAAATAGCACTGATGGGCCAGCACCTAAAAAATCAAAAGAAGATTCAGAATAGTTCCAATCAGTGTATTACTATTTGATCGAATTCTTTTCGCTAAGTCGAGTCACTGAGCAGACAAAAGAAATTTTTATTTGCTTTTATACAATTTTGTTTTTGGTCTTCAACTTGGATTCTTTTCATGCTAGTCTACCTTTTATCATCTTAACCACTCAGGTTTTTGCAAAGTTTGATTGTGAACCTCATTTATTGGTTGGCTAGGAACTAGCAAATGGAATGATCCTTCAAGATCAGTTGTGGAAGGAGATATCTTCATGTGTTGTTTCTGTTATATTTCCTATTGCTTTATGCAATTGGCATAACTAGCGAAGTTGGTCTAATTATCTGGCTCTTCCTTACATGAAGGAATCTGGGAAGTATTGTTTTAGGATGCCAAACAAATGCAACTTCCTAAAATGAGTAATTTTTAAAGGAGATGTAAGACTTAGACAATGTGGTCGTCATGATGACTTAATTGATCAAGCCATAAATGCCTTGATCAACCAGGTGTGTGAGATTCGAATAACCTAAGACTTAGGTTCATATCTCTTATACATGGGTGAACTCAAAGAAAAAAAAAGTTGCATCATTATAATGCTTAAATATGAACACTTGATGATGTAGTTGGCAGGGAGAAAACTTAATTTGTTAGGGCATTTCTTTGTCTTTAAAGGGGCATTTCTTTGTCTTTAAAGTTGGAAGTTCGAATCTTTCTGGTTGAACTAAAAATTGTGACGTGATTATTTTAATGCTTAAATATGAACACTCAAATCATATTTTTAATAATTTATTTTAAGACTGTAGGCTTCAAAATCCTAGTGCACTTCTTTTTTTCTATAACCCATAATCAAACTCATAATCGATGTCATGTGGCTTCACCAGTTGGATACGTATAATCAGGAGGTGTCGATGGCTACCCAACTAACCGACATTGCAGGAGTCGTCCTTGAAGGAAAGGAAGTCCCGGTAGAGCTTGAACTGAGAAAGGGGTATCCCYATTCGATCACAAGCTCACTGCGCAACCACCCGCCACACCCTTCTAATTGAGGCCTCAAGCTCTTCTCTCTCTCCATCATGGCTTCCTCTTATCTGCCCCCAGCTCACCACTTTATCCTGCAAAACCTCTCATAATGTGGAACTCCATTGGCCAATTCCTCAATTTCTTAAAAAAGTTTCAAAATTCTTACCCATTTCTGCAATCATTCCGACTGCAGCTCTCTTCTGGACAAATCCATCAAGCTGAAGGAGAAGAGAATCATGGTGGACCGAGGACCTGCCTTTTATTACTTCCATCTTTATCGCTGCATCTTTCTCGTGGTTATTAGTCTCTTGCCATTCTTCCACTGAGTCCGCTTTCTTGTTGAATAGGATGCCTGCAACTTATATATGTGTTAGCAAGATGAGCTCACAATGGCATTGCAGCTCAAAAGGAAATCCAATCAATCTACATAATTCTCTGGACATCCAAATGGAAGTTAGAAGATGAAATGAGAGAAGATGAAATGAATAAGAAAAGATGCATGTGCATAATCAATTCATTTTCTAAGTAAATAAATCATTCAGTTCATAGTTCCTGCAACTATATATAACTAGGAATCATAATAGCTGCAAAAGTAAATASTAAATGAAGCCTCTATTCTCTATTCTCAGGGTCATGGCCATTCTTGGGATTATCTTGACCATCTGGCTCGTCGAATGGGAAACCAGCAGCCGACCACTTATCCGTGCCCGAAGCTCCAGCTAAATCTCCAGCCTGCAGGGAGCCTAAATCCCAGATTGGCGACAATCCGCTAGAAACTCGCAAAAATGGATCCTCGAAGATGACTGCATTACTCCACAACTCGCTGCTCGAACTGGACATATCAGCACCAGCATTCAAATCTGCACTCCATATTTCTTCTGGTTTAATGACACTTCCAGTTCCAAGATGTGAGGACTGTAGAATATCCTCTGCCAAAGAGACAAAGTAGTCAGGATTGAACTCTTGTGGGGGACTCCCAATAGCCTTTCCTTTGAAATGTTGATCCTCCATTGTCATATTTGAAGCCTCCACCCTCAGCTCTTCTGTTGTTTTTGTAATTCCATGATGGAATGCTAATTCCTCAGACGCCATTACATCACTTGATGAAGCATTCTCAAACTGAAATTTTGACATGCTTTCTGRTATTGAACTCAATTCTCCAGATATTCCCTGCAGAAGGTTAGCAGAAGGTCCTTCGATAAGGTTTGGATTCAGATCCAGTGCCATGGAAGATACGGCGAGATTTTCCCAATCAGGTTGGTATTTCACAATCCGCCCTTCCATGGACGGCGTAATATCGTCTGTTTCATATTGATGCTGCTTAACAAATTTTCGTTTCATCCTTGGGGAATCAATATCTTTCTGTTCCTTCTTTTTCTGCAGGCGAGATAAGAATGATGGATTCCGAAGCAACTTTGACAAGAAAGAAATCATCTGTTTCTGCCTCTGCTCGGCAGACTGGAGACGCCGGTTCACCATATTCACATGCCGAGCAGTTCCCTTCTGTTGCTGTTGCAATTCAACAACCTCTTGCATTAACATGCTCCTCTCTTTCTTTAACCTACCAACCTCATCTTCCAATCCAGATTTCCCTCCTGCAGTAGAAGGCCCTATCAAGCTTCCAATTTGCTGAGAATGAAGTGATTTGCGCCTCTGAATGTTCTTTAACAACTGCCTCTTCCCTCGTTGGAAAGCTTCATTTGCAAATTCCCATCTGTCTGTATCGATCTTGCGGAAGCCCTGAATTCAATGGCCAGGAGTTATTCAAAACATTGAAGGACAAATCACAAGTACAGACACTACATACAAACACATCGACATACACCGATGCACATATGAATGGTATGTGTATTTTAAACAAAAAATGATCACACAACACAATTGGCAGTTGAAGCTTTTCTTGCACAGAGGAAGCTCCACCACCATTTGAAATCTCTAGTCTGCAAGTAAACCATAAATTTGTTTCTGCTGACATAGAGAAAAAGGTAAATGAATATAGTAACATCAATTTGTATAGCAGCACTGAAGTGCGTATTTTAACGAAAACCTGATTCTACCTGCTGGAGATGGAAGTCCTCAGCCCCCTTCACTGACAAATGGAGGGGAGTATTTCTTCGGTCTGCAATATCGAGCAGGAAAGAGTGCAACCCCTTAATTCCTACTTACAATCTAGAAGCAAATGGCCTAGCAACTCTTGCATTAAACCTTAGGTACTAACAACATGATAAGTTGAGTAAAATCGATGACAAGATAACAAACATACAATAGCTCAAAACTGACATAAATACATCAATCCCATTACAGAGAATCATCAACCTATGGCTAGTACCAGAATGGACCAGTAAAAAATGAAGGAAAATAACTCTGAATTCCCTTAATTGAAAATCTTGTACAGAAACATGAGAGTTCAGTTCAGTACATCCCAAGAGATATTCCAAAAGTACAAATAGGAGTCAATTACATATTGAGATCGAGGGAAAAAGAAATCTCATCCCCATCTGCCAGCACTGGTCTTCGTCAAGCCATTACACAAAAAGGATAAAAGTAAATAAAGATACAAAAAAGAAAACAAACCAAAAGGTAAAAATAAGCACATCAAGCAAACTACAAAAAGGAAAAAAGAAAGAAAAGGTGGAACAAAAAAATTACATACAGACCACAGCAGCCAAAAGAGGCTGTGTTATTGCAATACCCACATAAGTGTTAAGCTGTCTGACAAAACTGGAGAAGTTGTTGTGCTTGAAATTAGAAGGAAGGATAACTCTAGAAAACTCCACTGGATCCCAAACCACAAAGCTCTGCCCTGTAGAACCCCAGGACACAATCGAATCAAGCGCAGGATCCTCAACAAGATCGAAAGTCTTCCACAGAAATGGCGGAACTAGCTGGCCCTGAAGGCATTCGAGAGGTTGAGGCACATCACTCCCTGTACACGACACGACAAAAGGATCCAAATCTCCTCCTTTATCTGGTTCAAGCTTAACGTCGAACAGGTGGGGTGCAGAAGAAGATGGCATTGGAATTTCAGCCGAAAGGCCAATGCTCACCATCGAAATCCCCGCTGCAGTATCATCAAGAAAAGACCCACGAGGAGAAAACGGTTCAGAACCCATTAACTCCCGCGAAAAGGGCGATAAAAATTCACAAGCCGAAGAAAACCCAGCGGCATCAGACTCCGATTGAGCAGAAGAAGAAGAAGACCCCCCAATCGGAGCCTTGCCTTTCTCAAGAGGAGACATCGAATCGCCCTCCTCCGTGGGGTTCATCTATAAAACCCAAACAATCAAACCAAAATTAACGGTCTGGGAACGATCAAAGAAAGCCCCAGCCACGGATTCGTCTGATTGGGTTGGTAAATGGAGCAGAGGATATATAAGAAGAGCGCAAACAGAACTTTGCGCCGACAATTCGAAAAAAATCAGGGAAAGAAATTCAAAGGCGGTGGAGATTGAGACTGTGAATCGAGCCGTAGCTCTACAGGTACAGAAGCGTCGTTGCTCGTGTCGGGACCCCATTAAGATTTAGCCAAAAAAAAGTTATGGCTTCGGATTCTCTGCAAATTGAGAGGAAACTACTGCTGATAAGCACCGACCTTCATTTCTGGATTGTTTCTCAGAACCTACGCTCTTGGGGGAGGTCGTTATTGTGGTTGGTTAGCGGGAGAGGAGCGGTCTAGACCGGGATTAAGGTAATTTCCCGTACGGTCTTTCTGGACCGGTCGTTTTTTTCTTTATTTGAAAGTGACGTTTTGGACCGGACCTTGCTTAAGGAGTAAGTTAACGCGACTGACCAATGGGATTTTGAAGGTCTCTGTCGTATGATTATTCCAATTTTTAATAGATTTATTAATCTAATTAATATTAAAAAAAAAAGATATTATTGGTGGGCCATAAGATGATTTTAGGGAATATAACGATGGATTTTTTTTTCTTTTTAAACATTTTCATAAATGAATTTATTATGTTTATATTTAACTTTAGTCACCTTAAATTGAACCATGAATTAATAAAGTAGAATTAAGACATATATATAGTGTGTGGGTAGAGAATATGTTCCGATTTTATGATAACTACTCAGCTAAGATATTAAAATCCTATTATTTTTCTAACAGTTAAATATTATAAAGTCAATGTTACTCTATGATGTTATAAAAAAGAGAGAAAATATTGAAGTGTTCCAAGTTAATTTAAAAAAAAAAATCGACAAAAAACTAAAAACTACTCTCTAAGAGAAACGACCAGCTCTTGAGAAATAATGTCATGTGGGTGGTGATCTTCAACTAATCTTCCGTCCTTGAAAACTATTCTCTTTCTCCTAAGACGAGCGACGAGTTCCTAAAAATCAATATACGCAATGGCCTCTAACCGGTCTTGATCTAAATGAAACTCTCGCTCGATGATATAATTAATTTTTCAAACTTCCCCTCATTTAATAAAACCAAMGTCCATACAATCCCTTTGGAGGATTCTAGAGTTAAAATTTTCAAGGATGCTCAAATCGATTTAGTAGTTTGAGTGAAGGATCCATTTTGTCAAGAATCGTCCTTTTAAAATTTGATTAAATTGTCCCTTTCTAATAAATAAACGAACATGTTTGGTGCACGTGTACCAACTAAAATTTATGACAATATCGAAAATATTATTCTATTAATTTGAAAATAAAAACATTTGCTGATGCCAAATTTAACTTACATGTAAGGTATCAATAAAAATATCGATAAAATGTTGATATCGATGGATATTTTTGTAAAAACCATAGAAATTTAAAAATCGTAAAAAATATTTAAATTAACAAATGACCATTTTCATATTTCTAAATAAGTTAAAAAAATAATTAATATTGATATTATGTATATATTAGTGACATTTTGTTGATATTTTCCAKATTTTGTCGATTTTTTTGTACCATGATGAAAATGTCAATGTCAAACCCATGAAAACATAGCCATGTCAATAGAAATATCGACGTGTCGACAAATATTTAGAACTATGTTTACATGAGAAGGTTGGATGTTTCTCTCTTCRTAATGTTGCTCTCTGTTCCCCTTCTTTTCCTTAAAAACAAAATTCCACGTTGATATAATTGATTTGCCCTTTTTTGGGGTCAAAATCAACACTTTTTGATGTACACTAGTCACAAGAAATTGTCATTTATGTACCCTAGTTTAAGTTTTGAGCAAAATTCTGATCCTTCTAAGTTTTTAARTTGACATCATATGGACTTGAAATTACGTTTTTATCCATTTCTTTTCATCTTTTGCACGGGCTAGAACCCTAAAGCCCAAATTTTAAGGATACAAAAATGAGCAATTTCCCACTATTCACTACACTTCTCCCTCTAAAGAGAAAAAAAAATTAAAAATGCAAAAAAAAAAAAAAAACTCCTCCCCTTTTGAAACCTCCTCTCCCCATAGACTCGTGAATGGTGAATAGTGAGTGAATGTTTGAACTACCTGTTAAATAACAATTATGGTATTTCCCTAGCAAACAGGCCAGACACCAAGTTCGGCTGAATATATGATTGTACCCAGCCACAACTAATCACTAGTATGTACAAAATTAGTTCCTGGTTCTGGTTCCGGTCGCGTCCCCGTCCCCGAAATAAAATCAATAGTTATACAAACAAATAAAGGTGTGGCCTGCAATCCGCTTGCTTATCAAAATAGCAAAAAGGTTGAAGCTCCCTTGTTTCTGAGCAGTGAAATGATCCACTCTCTTTATGTGCTTGGTTGGTATTGTGTAGCAGTCGAAGATTCCTAGCGCTTCTCCATTCCTTCGCAAAAACCCGGGAGAAGCGCGGTACAAGATCTTTGCTCGAAAATAGAACTACTAGTAATGACAAAATGAAAGCTTTGACTGGGAGTACCTCATATCCYGTGGAGTATCATTTTAATCCTCCAGATATCTCTTAGAAGAATAGCATGATTAGCACACGAAAACGTCAGGCATTCCCATGTTACATATCGTCACATAATTGAGAGCGGGTTAGCACGACTTTGTTGAGGAGGAGGTGGCTGTTTAGTCATTGGCTTCAAGCATTCCATTATGCTGGAAAAAGATGGACGTTTCCAAGGCTCACTGCAATATTGTCAGTTATTGACATTAGTCGGAAAACAAAGATGCAAAAAAGCCAAACATAACAACTCACTTGGCCCAGCAAGCCTCTATTAAGGAAGCCACTTTGGGATTTACATCCCTTGGAATCTCAAGCCTTTTGCCCTTAAATCCAACAGCTGCTACAACCTATGCAACAAGAAAAAATATTGCTCKTAAATCAAACAAAGTCAGCAGACGGTTATCAGAGAGGTGATGCCAAAGGAGGTAGATTTATGCCTGAGCAACAATGTGCGCCATGAATATCACAATCCATCAGTTATCACATAGGTGAAGAGTGTACGAAAGAGGAAAAAAAGGAAAAAAAACATCTCAGAATTTGATGAACTCTGTGGTATAAAGAAGTCCTGACCAGCTCATATCAGCTGTTAAAAACTATGTAATTCAGACAAAAACTGAACCTACAATCTACCATTACTTATTTATTTTATTATTATTATTATTATTATTATATATATTTTTTTTTTGGGTGTGGGGTGGGGGGGTGGTTGTGCATCCACTGCTAGTGCACATCTACTACGTTATTGGTTTTGTTTTTCACAAAGCATAACAGAAATCCATCTATAAGAAGTTCACACTGCACAAAATGGAGAGTCTACGTTATTCAGTAGGAAACTCCTCATTCACACTGACCAAAAAAGTTGGAAGTATCTAACAAAGCAAAGGTGCTTAGCACGGAGCATTGAAGTGTCTAGGAAGTTAGTCAGAAAACTGAGCTTAGGAGTGGTAAACTCAAAGATATTTATTACTGTTTAATTCTTTAAGATAGAAGTACAATGAGGATGTGCCTTGCTCTTTCATCTTTCTTAGACTATAATAATATGCCACTCAAAAGAAGAAACGACATATGCTTATTGAAGATGAGAATGTGGATGAATGAAGAATCCTTCAATTCTCATTAAARGGGAAAAAAAGATCCCTCCAATATCACCATTTTCTACATCTTTCACCAGAATCAGCTTAATCCTCAATCATCACAAGGAAAGAACACAAGGGATCACCTAGCCYCAAGTCCCTAAAAGTGACAATTTTACCTCTTAGCTAGTATTGCCTACATCTTGACACAAAACCTTTCTTTCCTAGCATTCTGCTTAGGAAAGACTATAATAAGCCTTTTCCAGATCTAATGTAAACACCCCCCCTGTTTTTAACTTTTTAAAACGTCATCAGCCACCAGAATTGGACCAATGAATTATTCAATTGTAACAAAAGGCGAGAAAGAAGGATAGTAGAGGGAAGAACCTCACTGAGCCTCTCTGCCAAAACTTTAGCCAAGATCTTCTAGGTACTAGTAGTGTGGCCTTATCAGCCAAAAATCTGCAATTTCGGTAATTTTCTCCTTTTCTGGAATAAGAGCAATAAACATCTCATTCAAAAACTACAGTTGATAGTCCTCTATGAAAAAGTTTTGAAACATTTCCATATTATCTTCACTAACAAAATCTCAATCTCAATCTCCTAATCCGAATTTAGTGTTACAACCATAAGGGCTAAGTTTTGCTGGTTCCAAGGTTTTCTTTTGTAGCCATCCTCACTTCATCTTCTACAGGCCTCTTAAACCACGTCTTTCATTAACAAAACCAGGTCCCCACAGAAGCCCGTAGGGAATATATCTTTTCCCAGAAGCTAGGAGATAATCTCCTTTTCAAAGTTTTCTAGGTACACCAATCACCGAGTTGATGATGACATTTTTCCTTCTTGCCACGATATTGTAAAAAAAGTCAAGTTTTCATCTCCTTCATTTAACCATTTAAAAAAAAACATTTTATGCGCCAAAAAATATCTTCTTTTAGGACAAGATCCTGCAGCCTTATTTTAAGAAAACTTCTTTGTTGTCCCTTTTTCTTCGTCTAAACCCCATGATTCTTTAATCTTTATGTTACTGAGGCTATTAATATTGGTAGTTGACTGGTTTTTTCTGGTAGGAAATACTGCCAAGTTCCTTTCTATTCCATGATATAAGATTTTAAGTGAGAATGGCTATTCCATTCTGACTTTTGACTTCTATGCTAAACATACTCTATAGTGTTTAGGAATGTTGCAATGAGTGGTCTCTTTGCGAGCAGAACTTTGAAACTCAAGAAGACCTCCTCTTTCTCCACTGCTGCTTTGTTACAGTGTTTTGGAGCCACATCTTAGTCTTTTACCGTTGGGCCTTGCCAATGGACAACAACATTTCCTCCAATCTTCAGTCGCTTATGTTGTCTCACCCCTTCAAAAAGAAGGCTAAAAGGCTTTTGGCTCAATATCATCTGAAGCTTCTTTTGGAATATTTGGCTAGAACGGAACAATAGACTCTTTGGATACACATATCTTTCTAACCACATCTTCACAGCCGCCTCATTGTGCAAGTTAGCAAAATGTTTTRTTGTTATTCTCTAAATGGTATTTATGCTAATTGGAGAGGCTTTTGTAGCCAGCTTCTGTTCGGTATTTCATAACATTGATGAAATTTCATCTCTTCCAAAAATTAAAAACCAAAAAACAGAGATAGGGAGAGAGAGAGAGAGAACATCTGATATTTTAAATCAGGAAGCTCTCTCTCGAAGAGCTTCAAAAGATTATAGTTTAAGGTGAACGTTAGCTTTTGATAACAATGCAATCTTCTTATCTGATAATGTAACTATAAGAGATGGGAAAAAAACCTGAGCTGGGTTTAGACTACACCACGGCTGTTGCAAAGTAGCCAACTCCCACAAAATCACTCCAAAGCTGTAAACATCTGATTTTTCATTTGAGGGCTCATCACGGAGTACTTCTGGAGCCATCCATTCAGGCTAAAATTGCATAGTTAAACATTAAAAATTGCATAKACATCTTGTATGCAGAGTGTGGCAATATATTGCTACAAATCCAAGAACTCACTGTTCCAGCTGCAGATTTTGATGAAAGAAATGTGCGTGCCTTCAAACGGGAGAGACCAAAATCACAAACCTGAACAGAGATAAAATGAAGACATTTAAAAACTGCAAACTGAAAAGTTCCATTATAAAGACATTCGTCATTTTCTCCATTAATTCTTCTTAGACTCCAATTTTGAGCTCTGTTTTGCCAATCTTATCTTCTGATGGCATGAATGAAACTTTTTATTTTGTTTTCGATGTTGTAAATATATGTTCCCCTCTCTCCCTTGAAGCTTAAACTAAGATTCTTTGCTTACAAATTTTGGAACATTCGTTATCATTTGTTACCATGTCCTACAATAGACAAGTAAATTCCAAAAAATACAATTCAAAACTTCTTGAATTTTTTTGCCAACAATTCATCTCAACTCCGACAATTTTAACTCATGAGCCTTATTTACAATTTTATCAAAAGTCGTGACRGGTAGATGATCCACCAGGAAGAGTATAGATCAACTAACAAGAGATAGAAGGCCAAAAGGTGGAGAAATGGCATCCCCTAGAAGAAACCTCTGTAAGCTGAAAGTTCAAAATTTAGCTACCTTTACTGTATACTTCTTGTCTACCAAAAGATTTGGAGATTTTAGATCACGATGAACAATTGGTGGATCACGTCTATGGAGATAGTTCATTCCCTTTGCCTGCATAAAAACAAATGACCAAGCCATTTACCAAAAGATAGATGACATTAAAAATGAATGTAAACCGTGCATCACAGGACAAAAAGTGKGGGCTACTAGAATAAAAATGGTCAATCAATCGAATAATACATACTACATCATAAGCCATGCTTAACCGACGTGTTTCATCTATGTCTTTGGCACCTGACTTGTGCAAAAGCCTATACAAGCTACCTCTGCAAACAAAACCAAGTCTTCAGTTTTCAAACATTTTTCTCTCTGTTTTTTTGGTATATGCATAGCAAAATTCACAAAATATTTTATGCTAACTTTTTCAACTTTGATTAATAGAAAGAAGATGGTAAAAGAAAACCTCGATAGATATTCAGTAACAATGGACAAGTTTGGTGGCTTAGTCACCGCACCCATAAACAATACAATATTAGGATGTCGTAAGGATTTCATGATAGCGACCTAGCAAGCAGAAAGGAAAAGGACAAAGTCAACAAATAATCCATCCCTCTTGGATGTATATAATTGAGATTTCCGCCACTAAATACCTCTCTCAGAAACTCGTTAACGCGTTCAGGATGGAAGTCTTGTTCTGTGAGGATCTTCACGGCCACTTCCTGACATGCCCATGATAAAATGTTAGAAATAATGGTGTTGACCACATCATATTCATATTAAAAGACAAAATGAAAATGCAACATTTGAATCAAGGCTTTATGCCAAAATCTTCAATTACTCAATAACTGCAAAATATAGTTGGATCAAAGAGTACAAAGACAAGATTTTTGTTTAAAACCAAAGGAACTGCAACATGCAAAAAAAAATGCTCCCCAAAGTGACAGATATATGCCTCATATCATATTACAAAATAATATCTTCTGGTGCAATGGGAAAAGGCAAGGGTATTGATGGGAAGTCTCTTTACCTTTCCAGATTTCTAACTAACTATAAGAATTTATACAACAGATGTTCATGTATCAAGTAACATATAAGACTGTGATGTGGTTCTATGGCTTAAATCTCAGACTCACCAAAGAGTTGAGCGTCACATAAACAAGAACTGTGTTAGTGTTATGCATCAGAACAAATATTTGACTCAAAATCCAGTAAAAACAATAATAAGATAAGTCAATAACATTGAAATAATATCTTTCAACTTTTATGCAAAATGCAATCCACATGCTTGTATAATAGACTAATTTKGGGACTTAATAATCATCAACCATTTCTTGCATGACTCACCGATCCATTCCAATCAGCACGATGTACAGTTCCAAAAGAACCTGAAATTGCATCAATTATATGCTCAGAATGAGCTTAAAAGATTAATTGCAATGAACTCTATAGATAGATTGACATTATTTCACGGTGAGCCAATTATCATATTCAAAAATTCATAATTTTTTCAAAATTGCAGGACATATACCTGCTCCAATTCGCTCTTTTAGAACAAGATCATTCCATGGAATGTCCAAATCCTCCGCACCAAGGGGAACTGCTTTACTCCGACTGCTTGGTATTAGCTGACCTCCCTGTGCAGTAGAATCCATTCTTGGCTGGGGCATGTCCAAAAGCGACTGAACACTTCTACGGATATTATGAGGAGCATAATTTAGTGGGATTGGATCCCCAACCAGGGCAGTTGATTGTATAATGTTATGGAAATCTCTGTCTTGGGAGTTAGGCTGAGAAGTTTTTGCATGCATTAAAGGGGATTTTTCATCACTATCACCAGTGATAATCATTGGGTTGTTTCTGTTTGTGAACTTTCTGTCAGACTGCTTTAGATAGGGGAGTGCCCCATCTTCTCCATCCACGGTAATTTCTGTCATTGTAACTTTTAAAAACTTGTCACCAAAAACAAATAATATACAGGGAAGGCTTGCCATATTACGTGTCATACAAGCTTTTTCCAGAGTAAGAAAATGTAAATACAAGCTACAACGAGAATTATACAATCTGGTGATATTGCACAAATATTTAACTTAAAAAAAGAGTTTGTCCAAATCTACTCATCTCAGCTCAATTGCTCCTGTGCAGACACCAACTGCGGCCTTCTTAAATACTATCTTTAGCCACAAAATCTACTATATTGTAACAATGAAAACTTGCCCCCTGTCTACCCCAAGTCCGCCCCTGCCAATCGCCTCGCTTCGAGGGATAAAAAATTTCCAAAAAAGATTAAAAATAATAAAATGAAAAAAATTATGTTGCGAGTATTACATGGAAAAGTCAACACTACGGATCGTATCCAAATGTGCTCTTCTTTCTTTTTAGGGCCGTACTGGTGTGTGCTTTGTAAGAGTGCTTCGAAGGATCTTGACCACTTTTTGTGGCATTGTCAGTCGCTCGGGTATCTGAAGTCGGTTCTTTAAGCTGTTTGGGGGTCATGGGGTTCATAACAGGGATTGTCGGGCTCTAATGGAGGAGGTTTTCCTCCTAATCGGGATAAGGGAAGATTTATGTGGCAGGCTTGTTTCTTTGCTATTTTGTGAGAGGTGTGAATGGAGAGAAAAGATAGAGAGACCCTGAGAGTATGTCTGAGAGCTTATTAGATTTAATACTTGGATTGGAGTCCCTTGGGTCTCTTGTTATTGGGCTATTTTTTCCTTTATTTTATGCCTTTGTATATTCATTTTCAATAAAAAGTTCAATTTTCGAGTGGTTGGCTTCTATTACATGGCAAGGTCAATACAGAAGAGGTTCTACAAAGGAAGACTCCTAAAGAGGTTCTACAAAGGAAGACTCCTACAATGGCTTTGCAGCCAACTATCTGTTTATTGTATGTTGAGAAGGGGGAAGTTTGAATCATGTTTTCTTTTTCTGCCCATATGTTKCTGCTGGTTGGAATCTTTTCTTTCGGATGTTCCAATTATCATAGGTGTGGGACCGTGAGGCTGCTAGTAATATTTTTCAGCTTCCCCATGGAGTTTGTTTGGTGCCTAAAGCTAATCTACTTTGGATGAATGGGTTTAAGACGATCATCTCAGAATTATGGTTCGAAAGGAATCAAAGGATCTTTGATGATACTAGTCATCCAGCATTAGAATGCTTCAACATTGTCAAATTCAAAGCTTCTCAATGGTGTGCTTTGTCCGATGTTTTCTCTTAGTATTCCCCTAGTATGATTTGTATGAATTGGGAGGCCTTTATTTCTCTTTTGTAGTTTTGTCCTATGTTTTATATTTTATTTCTTGTTTTTCTCTTCACTCCTTCGGGAGTTTGTATCTTTGAACAATTTTGTTCAGTTTCATCTATCAATGCAAAATTTGTATCTTGTCAAAAGAACAAAAAAATTGATTTTTCATCCAAAAAAAAACAAAAAAGAAAACAATGAAAACTTGCCCACCCCTTCCACCTTACCATAGCTTTCTTCATACATGTCTTGCGCTTGATATTCCTCATGTTAATGAAAAGTTAGGTTTTCCACTAAAAATAAAAACAATGAAAGTTTGCCCACTCCTTCCACCTTACCATAGCTTTCTTCATCCAAGTCTTGCGCTTGTCATTCCTCATGTTCTTAAATAAATCTTAGTCTCTGTTTCACAATGAGTTATGCTGAAGTAACAATGATTACTCCATTTATCCTCCGCTCCACTCAGGACATTCTTCTTGCTAATATGGTCTCAAATTTTACGGCATGGGGCACAAAATAACGGGAATTTTTAATAACTGCAGTTTGATTAGACAGTTAACACTATATACATCTTTGTCTGGTTGCATCAGCTTTTTTCCTCGGGTATCAAATCAGAACTCCTATATCTATCCTGCAACTACAAGATATCTAAATTTTGCAACTACCCAAAGTAACACCACTGCATAATCTTATCCATTGATGAACTGATGATCCCGAGCATCCAATGTCTAATAAGTATGAGTGTCATTTCCGGGAAGAACCATAGAAAATATATTTGATTATAACTTACACCAGCTTTTTTCCTCAGGTATCAAATCAGAACTCCTATATCTATCCTGCAACTACAAGATATGTAAATGTTGAAAATACCCAAACTAACACCAGTGTGTCATCCCAAGCATCCTATGTCTAATAAGTACGACCATCCAGGTAATTTCTCCAGGAAGAACGATAGAAAATATATTTGATTATAACTTACAACAAGGACTTAAAAATAGGAAGTAATCTCATCCCAAGCATCCAATGTCTAATAAGTATGACCATCCAGGTAATTTCTCCAGGAAGAACGATAGAAAATATATTTGATTATAACTCACAACAAGGACTTGAAAATATGAAAATGCAAATTAAACTATAAATATAGTTCCAAATTCATGCCTAAAGATTCAAATAATCACCTGAGGAAGCTTCATCAAAAACAATATTAAGCAACTGGCAATCTGAAAAGTACTGTTTGGCCAGTGACCTGAAATCAACGGCAGGCTCAACTGGCTTAGGTCGTGGAAATCGCAATGGCGAGGAGATCAAGATGGAGGATGGACCATTGAGTAAAGAATCAGGCTCGTATAAGCAACCAGGATTCCCAATCAAGTCAACCAGATACTCCCTGAAAAGATTAAATTAACCCCAGCACATATCACTGTTTTAATACAATGAGGAACAATAATCAGTTCCACAATCTTTCCTACATTCATAACCACAAAAGATTTAAATAAGATGGAAAAGAAATTATTGCTAAAAATAAGCTGGGTTAGCAAGGAAAATATAAGAATTAGTCAAATGAGGAGGGTTATCATCAAAAAGTGCAATACACACCTTTAAAATAAAAAGAGGAGCTCTAAACTAATAATTTCACAACTTAAAACGAAATAAGTAACAGCATAAAAGCCAATATTTCAAAGAAGAGTAAAATCAATAAAAACTCGGTAACCATTGCCTCCAAGTCATTTTTTATCCTACCTATCTTGCCCCATTTTGAAAATTTTCACCGTGATATTGTCCAACCCATTTTGATCTGAATTGGATTGCTGAGCTGTTTCATTATCCTACTGCAATTTTTTTCCCAAGATGACGATGAAGATTGTAATAGTACATCTTAAATGCATTATTATACGTCAATTAATGGCAGGCACCAGCTAAATTCAAATATGTTATTTGAGCTGCGTATTCTATAAAATAGAACAGTAAATATTACAGAACTCTTTTGAATCAAGTAGTATTGCAGAGAGAGCATACTTGTCAAGCCCAAACTGAACAAGACAAGAGGAAGCATCGTGGCACAAGCAATATTTACAGCCCTTGGCTACTCGACAGGGTAAATCAATTGTGTCAGCTAACACCTGAAAATATCATACTCTTGGATAAGCAAACCCTGAAATTATATCAATTAATTTGACACACTAAAAGATAATTTATATCAAATAGTAGCTATCCAAATTAAAAATACAAGACTAGAAGTTTACCGAATGCCAGATGCAGTTAAACGAGCAGAAAATAATATATGAAGTTAACTACTATAACTGCAGGAACAACAAAGCCTATGCAAAAGGAAAAACAATTTTAAAGAGTCAATGAATGTGCTTCAAAACTGGGATCTCACTTTGAAAAGAAGAGCACGATGCCGGCAGAGTCCTACAGAGAGGCCACCAAGAGGAACAACCACTGAGCCTAGGGACTCCTTCAAGTTATCACTGCACTCCCTCCAGATGGACACCAAAACATCTTCTCCAGAAACTGAGCCACTATTGAAACCAACAGAAAAGAAGTTACCGATGTTGAATGAAATAGACAAGTTTCCAAATTAAAAGTGTGGATGTCTCACCCCAAACTCCTGCAGACAAGTTTTGCGAGCTCATCTACAACCTCTTTTGTGGTTATAGAGCTGCTAGATATGCTTTGGAYCCAATTTTGGAGGTCTTTTAAGTTGGGATCAGTGCACCGATCAATCAGAACAACTTCAATTGAAGAATCCAAGCTAGGATCAACAGACTTTAGAGACTCAATTGATGGCATACGATCATTATCAAGCAGGCTGGTGCACACAGTCCATACATATGGATCCATTCCGTGGATTAGATAAAACCCGTCAGGAATTTTGTCAAAGTATGATAGACAGCCATTCACCTGATACATATTAAATAACATGACAGAACATCGTGTTCAAAAAAAAACATAAAAAATAAACTACTCTGTTATGCTGGACCAAAGAAAATGTTCCTCAACCACATTCTCAATTTGATTCAAATAAATCAAAGAAAAATGTCAAAACTTCAATATTCACTAAACGTGTAAATGTATCACTAGTTACATGTCCATGTTGAAGTGGCATTGCTCATTCAAATCTCAGCTTGCAAAGCCTAACCTAAATTCTATAACTTTTTTTGAATCTTTCATGGCTCCTAAAATCCAGCCAACTTGAATAAAGTAGGAACTAATCGACCCATTGACAGACTTTTGGGGTGTAGACTATTACGATGATACAGCCTGCAGCTAACTTTCATTTCAAGTAAATATTGACATAACAAATCTCAGATGGACTAAAGCTATCCATTCAGAGCATTGACCGCTAAAGACTAGCCACTAAAATTGGAAAGGAGGCAACTGAAACGTGGATCTTAAACTCTTAATGACTTTCCGAACTGATATCTTCACTTTGACAGTGGTACTCTAGCTTGGATAGCACTGCTACCTGTTAAACAGTCAGGTTAAAGCCTTTATTTTTTGTTTTYATTCTGTTATGTTCTCTGGTTTCTGATCTCTGCTTTATTTTATTTTCTTAGGTGGTTATTTTATTTGACTTACTCCTATGGTATGATGTCACATGGTCCTTATGTAAATGGGGCTGCTCATTTAATGCAGCCCTCTTTTCTGTCTTTCATATATGAAAAATCCCAGACGTGTCTTTTCTTCCTTTTATCTTCTTTAGGGTTTGTACCCTTTTATTACCCTTTGCAAAACGTTTTGTGAATGCCAGAGACCAAATATAAGTTTGATTTTAAAACGGTAAACTAATACTCGTGTTTTCTTCATCTGTCACCACCTCCTAGATCAGATCAATAGTCCCCTTTCTACTTCATCCACCATAAGCCTTCTCCTACAAAGCAACCAACACTTCAGCAACATCAAYAGCAGAAATCTATCACACTTCATGAGTACAGATATAAACTTGAACTCAGACTATCGATCTAAGATCTACATTATGCCCTATGATTCATCATTGGCAATCTCACAAAGAAAACAGATGTTATGTCAGTATGTTGTTGGGTAATCGATAYTTTACCCGATTGTCAGAGTTAAAAATCTAGTTGCTATCTAGACCAGCAATGCCAGGCTAAACAAAACGTGAATTAGCATTGTCACYGAAGTCAACGCAACAAAACATGATCAAAATCCATAAGCACGAATCATAAAATTTGATCGATGGAAAACAATTTCTACCCAAAATCGATGTGACACAGCCTTGGCAGAGCTTATCGACCTCCTTAAAGCCGAATCATCCTGATATGGATTTAAAAAATTAGGATCATCAGCACAAGTTGCCTCTGATGAAAGCCGTAGCGCCAATGCCAACTGCAGTTGATAACTCTCCTCCGTCTGTTGCGCCCAACTCTTACTAGAAGATCCTCCAATCCCCGCAGCCATCTCAGCTGCCTGTGCTCTCGAATCACCTCCGATCCTAAGCACATCATCGTGCGTACAACCAAAGGCATCCGTCTCATTAGCCACCGTTGTCGATGGTGTCGGTGCATAGTACTCCCCTGATATCGAGCTCTCGCCAAAGCTGCTTCCACTCGACTGCCTCTGCAAACCAAAGGCTGAGTACATATTRCCGATCCAATTAACCTGCTGCTGGCTCGCCCTGTGATCACCACCAGCTTCCCAATCCAATCCTTTTTCCAACTTCCTCTTGTCGTTCTTCCCCTCTCCAGATGAAGATTCTATAAAATATGTTGAAGTTCCGGCTCCAGCCACGGAAACGCCGCCACTGAATTGGTCGTCTGGAACTTGACTGAGAAGCGTATAGTTCAACCTCCTGCCGGGCATTTCCATCGAGATTCTGAGAATTCCGATCACCTGGAATCCCTTTGAACCCTAAAATTCACCATGGAAGCGATGAAGAATTCTCCCTCCGCGGATTTTCCACCTTCCCGGTGTCTGTCTCTTTCTGGAATTCGATTGTCGGAGAGAGAAGCTGAGAACCATACAGGGCCTTTTAGGCGCAGTGGTGTTTTCGTAATATTCTGTTGTCAAATAAATTCTTTAAAATTAATTTAGGTTAAGAAACAATTTAGTCTTTTACTTTTAAAATACCTTTTTTTTTAATCTTACTATCTCATTGTGTTTATTCAAAGATTAATTTTAAAGTACTCCAATTTTTTTAATTATTTTTATTTATTGCAAAAAATAGTTTTATAAGAATAAATCATTAGGATGTTGTACTAAATACTTTCTAAAAAATAATATCGTAATCTTTTCACATGTGTTCGTATAAAAATTTAATTTTTATTTAAAATTTATTTTTTCAAGAGTGTAGTAAATGTATTATAAATATTCCTAATTTTAACAAACCTACAAATATATTACGTGTTTATAAATATAGTTAATTGGATTTATGTTGTCAAAATGAACATAATTTAGTTGTAATCGACATATATCTTAACCAAAGAGTTTGTGAGTTCAATCATCCACTCACATATGTACTAAATAAAATTTTGGATTTATGTTATTATTACATAATAATTATAATTCTTCACACAAYATTTTTTTATAAAATTTAATTTTTGGAGTTTAACTTGAATATTTATATAGTGTAGAAATTACAGTCACTRATGTTACTATAGTTCTTACCTGGAGTCGATTCAAGGGCTCTTGTCAATGTTAGAGCTTTTGGCTTTTAATTTGTTCAATATCTTCAATTTATAGCTCATTGATTTACTTTAATCGTATTAGTTTGTTGATATCGTTGAATCGACTGAAACGATCAATGTCKTRTACGCTAATGCTTTCAACTTGTATTCAAAGTGATTATATCTTCAAAGTCTTCTAATGTTTAAAGGTATTGAATCTTCAAAGGCTTCGATGGAGTTCCTACTCACAAACCCTAATAAATGATGTCTCCTRCAGTTATAAAGTTTTCCACAAGTTTGAGTGGGTATGARATTGGGCTATATTTGTACCACATGCCAAATTCTCACATTTAAAGAGTATTGATTCAAATTACTYTTAAATCCAACACTTAAAATTGGGCTCATTTAGACATCGAGTCTAGTATACATTAAATTATGAATAAAGTCAGTTATATTAATCAATTGTAATAACTTTAGGGCTAATTTTAGTATGGGAATAATTTATCATCCATGAGGTTGTGCTCATTCGATATAGGATTAAATTGTCACATGACCCAATTTAGTTGTTCAACATCCTGTGAATGTGGCCATTTACGATCGACTGAAATTTATTATTCAATGTGGGTGGTAATAATTTTTTTTTTTGTGTTATATGATTTATTTGTAGTGGTAGCTATGTTTTATTCAACTGGTCTTTTAACACGTACACCGTACGCGATATCTTCAGTTTATTTGCTTATATATTAAAATTAGTGGCAAACCTATTAATTTATATTGAATAATTAAATTTTGTGTAAGAATTAAATTGACGGATTCTAACCCTACATGAATTTTTAGAACAAAATTAATTATGAAATATATGTTTTCAATCCTAACAAAATCTACCTCAAACGGTTGTGAGAAACGAATGAAAAAAGAGCCTTTATAGCTATAGCAAACGAAAGAGTGACATAATATCAATAAATAAATAAGAAAGAAATAAACGAATTGTGAAGAAAAAAAAACTAAAACTTTTGATATTAAAAAATTAAATATAATTAATTGTTATAACTTATAATTATTGAATTAATTTATGCAAGTTAGAAAACAAAACCTTTCATATTATATCATATGATTTAAATTAAATATCAAATCTTAAAAATAGATCAAAATATTTAAAATTAAAGAACAAATCATACATATTGTCTTATATTTATCTAAAGAATCGAGGTGAAATTATGGACAAATGACTTRATTGAATTGATAGAGATAATTACTCAATATCTTGTTCTCTAAACAAAATTTAATATTTAAAGTAAAAAATAATGATATCAAAATTAACTACAAAATAATGCAAACTTAAAAATAGCAATATTGAAGAACAAACTCAATGCGTTTATCCTATGTTTTCATAAAATATATTTACTTCTTATCGATGTTTGAGATCAAACTGACAAATGCTTGCAAGATACACACAATGATCAACAATTGCTAAACAGCGCCGCTCTACAACATAAAAAGAATATTGAAAATGTTAGTGTTCTATCACTAAATCTAAAAACCACGATTAACTAAAGATAAAAAATGTATAAAAAAAGAACAAATTARTGTAAAAATGAGGAGGAAGATAACTACTTTTATAGTTATAGGAAGTAGAAAAGTTATAAAAAAAAAAACCTTCAAGATTCTAACACTTTTCATATTACACCATTCAACCTAATTAAATGTAAAAAATTTAATTTTAAAATTAATTTACATAAATAAAGGCAAAACTTTTGATATTATCAACATTTCATGTTTCATTAATTCAATCCACTTTGTGATGCATTTAAATTTTGTTCCCTACAATTTTTTTCAATATTCATAATTTGTTTAGGATAAATCTTATGAAATTTTTAATATCTCCCTTTAAAAACATGAATATTCTCATATTTTACTTATTAATAATATATATATATATATATATATATTTTGTTGTTGTTAACTTTCATATATATAATTTGTATTTACTAATTATTAATTTAATATTTTCATTATTATTGTGAAAATAATATTTCAAAGACTAATTATTACTTAATAGAATAATATTAAATTTTTTTTGCAGAAATGTTCAATATTTATGTTAAATCTTATTAAATTGATTTTAATGTCTCAATTTAAAAATATAGATATTCTCATATTTTACTTATTAATTATATATTTAATCGAAATTTAATMAATTTTTATTTGTTCATTATTAATTTATTTTTCGTTATTGTAAAATAAAATTTCAAAGATAAATTATTGCATCATAAAATAATATTAAAATTTTCTCYTACAATTTAAACTAATAAATAATAAAAGACAAAACTAAATTTAAAATCTAATTTTGTTAGAAAATAGTATTTTAGACCTATCCTATTAATTATTAATAAATTGTTAACTAATTTAAGTAATATAATAATGTTTCAAGAATTTAGATGGTTGGGGAGAGAATCAAAAGTTAATGAGAAAAATTCTAAAAAGACAAGAATGAAAAATATCATTAAATATGGGAGAAATGAATGAGAAAAGACGAGAGAGTCTCTCGTAAAAGAGGGGAGGAATTGATAAAARAGAAACATAAATTGAAGAGAAGGATAATTTAGGTATCACAAAAAAATAAAAGTTAATATTATCCAGAAAAATGTTTGTTTCGTATCCGTACTTTTTAATATATTATAGATATAATAGATATATATAATAATACCGAGGGACAACGAGCTTTACAAGCAAACATAAATRAGGAGGAAGAAAAACTCATATAGATTGTCATTATTTAATTAATGAATGGGCGATTTAAAAAATTCACCCATACCACGTGGATGTTGAATATTGATMAGCAGTATTGCAGCAACGTATTGGATAAATGCAATAAATTGACACTAAATTAAAAATAATAGGTGTTGATTTATAATGAACAAATTGTCCAATAATATTGACAGTMTTAATATAAAAACAAATAAGAAGTAAACTTCGTGGTTGGTGGCCTAAAAATAAATATTTAAAACTAAGGTATTCAATGAAAATAAAATTATATYGATGTTTTAAGATATGCATAGTAAATTTAAAAACTGATTATCAATTTAAAAAACTCTTAACCATGTTTAATAATATATTTGTAAACTAGTGATACTAAATCTGTAGTTGAATCTAAAATTCAATTATGAAAATACAAGTTATAAATTGTGTTATATAATTTATAATATGTTATATTTTACATGTTTTAATTAAAAAAAAAGAGTTTACAACATTAAAGAGTACGCTATCAAAGATTATGTATTTTTAAATGCAATTTTGCATTTTTAAGTTTCGAATTCAAATTTTGAAAAAATTGAAAACAATTTATAATATTTGAATTATAAAATTCGACAATAATATTTTTGAAAAAATACTACAAATGGTAAATCTATTTGTTTTAGCGAATCCGAATTATCTCTACTATGCCTTTAGTTAACTTTATTTTTTTGTTTATTATTAGAAGTTACTTAACTTTAACATTTTTTAAATGGTTAGACATATACGTATGATCCAACAAAATTTTAAAATTATAATTTGTTTTACTTTTTATATTATTCATATTTATTGGACATGCAATTAGCTTGAATCAATTTTATTTTAAAGACAATTATTTGTTCGAGATATTTATTGGCATAAGGGATTAAATATATCCGTTGACATGTCGATGTATACGTAAATAAGAGGATACAACATCAATATTAAAAATCAGTCGATATATTTGATAACTCGTAGTCCCACGCGAACATAAATACGATGAGGATACCCATACGTTATTTAGAAAAGTGAACAAAATTTGTTAGTGATTGAAATAATTTTTRTAAGACTGTTCATTTATAGGAATATTCGATGCCAGTATTTTTATCAATATATATGTAAACTTTAAATATTAATATCAGCGTCAATCTTGAGATCATCTAACACCAATATTTTAATCATTGGTTGGTATTAATATTTTACATTTATATATATAAATATTAAGTTCAACAACTTTTTTAATGGATGATATATTCTTAATCAGGTTATATATATATATATATATATATATATATATATATATATATATATATATATATATTTATTTATTTATTGAATACAATAGGTAGAGATACGAGTGAAGTGTATATATCAATTTAACTGCTCATTTTTTGATAAAATTTTTTCTTTTAGGCACATTGATAATTTGAAGAAGTTATTTTTATTTTTTATTTTTTGATATATATATTTGTATTGATCGAGTACAAACTTTGGCCAATTATGTACAAGGTATGCATTACTTTCAAATTTATCTTTTAATATTTGAAAAGATTTAATTGTACCCAAGCATTTGATGTGTTTTGAAAAATATTTGTTGGTGAAAAAACTTAAAAAACCACCAAACTATGAGGATTTTTTTTTTCAAGACAAATGAAATGGAATTTATTTTTTTTTAAGGGTGGGATGCATTTAATAGAATTTAATTGGTTATGATTTTGCTACTTAGTCAATTTGAAAGTAGTTTTGATTTAGACACACTCATCGTGGGAGACATGTACTAWTTATCACTGAGYTAAGTTCATGTTGATAAAAAATGTTGAGACAAATTTAAAGGGCATTAATAAATAATATATTACTGTTTAAGATTATCATTAAAAGGTTAAAACTGGAAACTTAAAAACATCAAGGGTAGAATCGTATATTTCACTTAACTTAGGGTTAGCTAATTTAATTATTTTAATTGTCGAATATTAAAACAGCGGTGTATTAGAAATTAGAATAGAGTGGAATCAATAAAACTGGGCGGGAAGGACCAGAAATTTGGCGGCAAGAGGCGATAACAGCCAAATTGCTCTCGTTCTCTCTCACTCGCTAACTCTATTCCTTCCCGCTTTCTACCATTTTTTTTKGCTCTCCCTCGCTTTCTCTTCAGCCCGATCCCCCTCCGCGATTCGATCCTCTCCGCGCCTTCGCTTGCATATGCATTCGGATTCAAGGTATGCTTCTTCACTTGAAATAGTGGCCCTGTAACGATGTTTCGAGCTCTAGTTGAAATCGGTTGGCGACCGATTTATCTGATAATCGAATTCTGCTTCGTTGTTTAATCCGATTTAGTTTCTCGAATTATCCGCAGTTTACAATTTCAATCGCTAGGATTTTGATATATGCGTCATTATGTTAATTTTTCTCCAGCCTAGCAACTTAAGATTTTAGAATTAATGGCTGTTTAGGAAGTTGCGGCAAGATATYTTCGGTAATATATGGATCGACTACTTTTGTTTTGTTTATTGGTCGATTTGGTAACTGTCCGAGCTCAATCTGCTTTCTCTCCAGTTCGATTTCCCTCCGCGTCTGGAGTTCCATATGTGGTTTCACTCGCATCATAAATTCGGAGTCGGAGTCGAGGTCCGCTTCTTGTCCTGAAGTAGGGATTATGTAAAGATGTTTCGAGTTATGGTTGAAACTATTCGGGGGTCGGTTTATCTGATAACCGTAGTCTGCTTCGTCTAATCCACTTTAGTTTCTCACATAATTTGCAATTTGTGTCGATAAAAATTGAATGTCCGTGCCATTAAGATGATTTGCTCACGCCGAACATAAGATTTTAGGATTAATGGTTATTTAGGAAGTTACGCAAGAAATGTTCACTACTATATAAGTCCGGCTAGTGTTCTTGGTCAAAGTTTGGTAACTGTATGTGTTCAATCATCTTTCTCTTCAGTCCGATCTCCCTCTGCGGCTTCACTCGTATCACGGAATCAGAATGAAGGTACGTTTCTTGACCTCAAATGGTAGTCTCGTAATGATATTTTCAGCTTGGAATGAAATTGGTCGGGGATTAGTTTACATGATAATCGTATCCTGCTTAGCCTAATCCAATTTAGTTTTCACATCATCTGCAATTTGCAATTTCAATTGCTAGCAATTTGATGACCGTGCCATTAAAATAATTTGGTTGGAGTTCCAACCCAGCAACTTAGATCATAGAATCAGTGGTTGTTTTACTTCGTTGCTCGGTCGATGACTAGTAACTGTACGTGCTTAATCTTATTTACCGCCATTTGAAATTCACGAGATCTAATATACAAACGGTGTTAATTAATAAAATTACTAGGCACATCAAAATTTTAGTCGCGATTAATTTTAGTGCAATTCGATTGAACTAGAGTATGCTAATTTTTACTAACGATTTGTTCCTCTAATGATTAAAGTCATTTTTTTCTTGAATTTGCAGGATAGTGATTTCCAATATAAAATACCCTAAACTTATACAAATTACATAAAAGTTTGCTTTTAAATAGGATTTTCTTTTTTTTGAAAAAGAAACCTATTTTTTGAATACAGCTCCCAAACTACCTCCTAACTTTTAATTGTCATACTTGGACTCATGAAGGGGTTGTATTTTTTGTCTCACAGACAGACACTGAATACTCTGCCTCTGAGTTCTATATTCCTCTCGTTGCATCTTCGCTGACCTTTATCTCTTATTAATCATCTGTTTGGAAGAAACAATATCTTTTTCTGAACGCTCAGCAAAATTTCTGATGAACTGAAGTTTGGACAGTTGAAGTGCAAGCTTCAATTATGAAATTAGGTGTAGATTGTGCATTCCATTTCTTTTTGCATTATAGGTTACTACCAATATCCAATTATATGAAACTAAGCGTATTTCACAATCACTTAAAGCCATAACTATATTGTCAATCGCCTGCACCAGTAGGGGTGCGGGGAGTGCTATCGTCATGGTCGGAGTTAAGTATCCTAAATAAATTTGCATGTTTCTTTGAAGAGTTACACGTGCTCTATTAGGAAATGAATGTTAAGGCTTTAGGTAATTCTTCAGAAAAATTTCAGCCTCCTTGGTTAAAAGTCCGCTGTAATCTGCAGTTTGCTATTTAACCTGGTATCTCACATCTAGGGTTGAGAAATTAGTAAATATCTCATGGTTAGTGTTGGTCGCTATTTTTATATGAATGGTCCATATTTGAGCTTGAAATGACTAATTCTAATCTTGTTAATCATGTGTCAAACACGAATTTACAAATGGATACTAACTTATTTGTGATGAGTTGGATGGTGTGTCACTAAATGTTGATCTTTTCTTACTGCTATGTTGTTCTTGCTGCCCTGGTTTGGGCTTCTCCTCCTCTTACTGATTCTCTGCCTTACCTCTTCCTCTGTTCAATTTGCTGGCTGGGAAATGAAGCCTGGCCATCAAAGGTCGGGGCGCCCTTGATTTTTGATCAAAACCTCTTACACAGACGTATCCTGAAAATTACATTGAATACATTTGAGTGAATATAGAATATTTCAAAATTTTTGTTTTCGGTAGGGTATTCAGATATGCTGGACGCTGATATTTCAGATATCATATGACCGCTCAATTTATAATTCTACATACCCCAGTTTGGCTGGGATAGCAGAATGATAAGGTTGCGAGATTTTTTGAGAATATTTTAAATATTTATGACCAAGTCATTAATTCATGCAAGCACTAGATCGGTAAATCCTAAAATGTTGTACAATATGTTATATATTGTATAAGATTAAAATATTACTAGCATTCTCACATTTTGAACCTTGTATTCTGTTTAATAAATTTTACACTTGTTCATATATTATCTGCAACCGTATGTATATCAGTGACAAATTACATGCTATTTCTTAATGGTGCATATATAGATAAGAGGACAGCAATAAATTTAAGAATAGTACCTCTCCAGAAACAGTGTTGGATGCCTTGTGTAGATAAACCTGGTGGACAAGAAGAAGCTGTTATTATTTAAGTTATCACATTATAAGAGGTATATGTTCTGTGAGCAACCTTTAAATATTGTTGGTATGGAGGTCCCAAAGTACACGGTGCGCCTAGGCAGATTCCATATCCAGTCCCTAGGAACATCTATTGGGTTGAGGCTTGAATCGTGATCTGCAAACACCTACAAAGGAATATTCATGGTTAGCTATGGCACAAAGCCTAAAAAAGAACATGATAATGTGTCATGTAGCGTATTCAACCTTACCTCATTGACTTGAAAGTAGGTACCATTCAGTGGAAAGCTTCCTCTCATTGCTGTTCGACATGGTACCTGTTTTTTTTTATTGGTTTCGGGAGGGGGGGGGGGTATTGATTAGGATACGGTATACTAGGTATATTTGAGCATTACCACTTCAAGACATGTCTCACCAAAATAGTCCCTCGAACCATGTGGGACTTAGCTTCTCTGACACTGTTGCACGAGAAGCACTCGGCCTCATGACACAATTGATGGAGTTCTTGATTACTGCACTTTTTTTCTGGTAGTTGAATGGAATTTGCTGTTTCACCTAGTGATATCAAGTATAAAACATATCACACAATTTCATGAGCGAACATATGTCAAAAGTCTCCATAATTTGTTGCCTTTTAGTTAAGTCCTCTAGAATTACATTCAGTTCAACTGGCCATGACTTAGAGAGTAATTTGTAATGTTTTGGAGGTATTCTACCTGGTGTCCATATAGCCAAAAGGTATGAGCAAGGATCATCTGGTTCTCTTCTATCCAATTTCAACTGTATTATAAGAAATACCCACATAGTTACAATGCTCCACATTCCCCATAAAACATACCAAGAAACAAAGTAAAATTGTTTGATCTTTAGGTGTAAGAACCACTAACCTTTTCAAGAAGAGGGTGGGAATCTGGCAGTTCATACCTGCAGAAGGTGAAATAAATTAGTGCGCAAAGTAGGATACTTCCTTTGCAATGTGATACTCTATAGGTCGTTGATTTTAGACATATTTAAGGTCAAACCTATTTTCTGAACTATTAATCGCACTCAATTCACTCCCTAGCGATAACATCATATATTGGAGAATTTGAATGACCTTGATGAGTGAGGGTAGCAAATATTGTGCTTACACTTGGTGCTCTGTTCGTAGCCGGCTGAAATTCTTAAGTTTGGGCATGGGAATTGATGCAGCTTCTGGAGTCAGTGCAATTAAGGCTTTTGACATGTCGCCTTCTTGAAGTTCCATATTCTTTTGAACGTAGTTCTGTAGATTTTGTGAGAACTCCTCAATGTTTAGTTTTATTGTAGGAATTTCACCAGGCTCTTCGAGGAAGGCATCCTCAATGTCGCTGATTGAAGCTTGTGCGGTGCTTTCTTGCTCTGGTGTTGCTGGTTCTTCAATAATGGGTACGCATGTGCCAATTCTAACCTTCTCATCAGATTGATGGCTTAATTCGGATGGTTTGATCTCTTCAGATGATACTGTTGAGGGAGGGAGGGACAGCAATGGTTGGTCAATGATTCCAGCTTGACTATCGTTAGGTTCTCTGCGTTCAGTAGTACTGACTATTCTTTTATCTTCTGGTGCTGGAAGGCCAAGCCTTGCACTGGATATGTAAGAAGTATGTCTATTAGTTACCCAATTATCCATATTTAAAGCTGTAAGAATTAGATTTTAAGGTTAAATTAAAAGTTTGATCCCTAAACTATGTTTAATAGGTTCCTAAACTTTCAAAATGGGCTCCAATAGGTCCCTGCACACAGAACTATTGATTTTATGTCCACATGTTCTTCAATTTTAAAAAATGTCTCTTTAATTAGAGACTTATTAGAAACATTGAAAATTCATGGACCTATTAGATTTTTTTAAAAGTTTAAACACAAAGTTAAAAGTCTTGGGACGTATTAGACAGTTTTTAAATAGGGGTCCATAAGACACAAGAAAGTATAAGAACCCATTAGACTCAATTGTAAAAGTATAGAGACCAAGTTGGGTCTGTGCCCTTAACATGTGATTTAGAGATATTCCGGAAGAATTTAGTAAAAAATGTTGTTATTAGCTGGTTAATTGTGTTGCTTATGTGCACATTCTCTGTCTAAAAAAGAGAGGAGAGAGAGAGAGAGAAAGACTGCAGGTACTAGGATAAAGATGGCCAAACCTTGCAAATGCGCTAGCAAAGTGCCTACATTCTCCTCTCATTGGACAAGCATTACAATTTGGTTTACTTTTTGTACAAAAGACCTGTATCATACAATCCTGCTAAGTTCGTATATAAGTTTTCTTATGTTAGAACCAAAATTTCCAAGTAAAATTACCTTTCCGAACGTAATCATTTGGTAGTGCAGCTCATACCTGCATCCATATTTTATAGCCAAGTGGGAATTTAGTTTGAAATTCTAATTTCCGCAACTAAACGATAAAAATTGCATACGTTTCTAGTTTTGTTAGTAGAAATGTGCTTACAGTGTTCTCTGGTCAAGCTTGCAAAGCCGAGGCCAGAGATACTTCTGGATTGACTCCAACACAGGGTACCTGGGTGGGGCAGCAAGAAAAGCTTCAAAGAGTAATATTATTATTTCGTGGAAATGATGTATGTTCCACATAGGTCAGCATATTTTTCTTTTCTTCGCAATACTACACGTTTTGTGGTTTTTGTTATTTATTTGGAATAACAGTCATAATTAAAACCTCCTTAAAAGATCAATCTATTTCTGTTCTCGTAATAATGTGTTGTAGTAGATGAAAGTTTAATTTCTTTTAAAACAGCGTGAAAATCAGAAAATAAAGGGGGTTCATGAAGACTGCAAAATATCAAATAGATATTATGATTAGAATTATTAATCCATGTATGTATTAAGTTTCAAAGTTTATGTTACTTTAAGAACTGAAATTATAAACTAAATTATAGTTAAAAAGAACACTTGTTCTCATTTTATATTTTTGAAATACATGTAGTGTTCTAAAGTTCAGTTTATATACAATAACAAAAATAGAATGTTGAATTTTATGTTTTAAATATGCAAATCATTGATAAATTATGCTTATATTGCAGTGATATAGTTTGAAATAACTTATAGCATTAATTGAAATAAATGCATGAAATAAAAATAAACTGAGTTTTTCTTTAAAATTGTTAACTTTTAAGAATGGACAATGAAGAATATTTTTTCTCATATCTTTTATATGGTAAATATGTATGATTTGCTAACATATAGGCTTGTCATACTCACAATTCTAGAAGATGCAACTGTAGGGATTCTGGTAGTGGTTGAAGGGGTACCCATCCCAGTCGTACAGCAATACGTCCAACATTCGTGTCCACCTGTTATAGATACAAGTGACAATTATACATATATTTAATTAGCTTTTATATCAATGCTTCATTTTGAACTTACTGGGAAGGCAAGATGATGAAGAGTAAGAAGTCGCACACACTCCACGCTTTTTAGTCCCAATCCTCTGAAGCTTAGTAGATATTCTCTGCACATTTTCAATTTATGTGTAATCCCAATGTACGAGTCATAAAATTTTGGTGGATCTCCTATTCAACATATTCTCAAGTGCAGAAGGTAGCATTATCATTATTCTTCAGTTTTTATTTTTAGGATTTGACATTAAGTCATCAAGTAATCTTACTTTGCTTGGTCTGGTGCAACATCCCTTAACCATTCGAGATCAATGCTCCCATGATCTTTCACCAATCGGTTTAGAAAATCCTGAACAAATAAATTACTCATCCAATACTCAACTCGTCAGGGATTGAATAGAATTTTAGATCATGTAATTAGAAATCAATGGTATATTGATACCTTGATTCGTTCAGCAAGCATGTTGTTCATGCCCCGTTCTCTGATGGCGTCTGCAATCTCTTTCACATCAGCACATCTTACAGCTTCCCAATCCAATGAGTCCATTGTATTTTCAGTTCTCTGTTGCGTCTTTCCATTGGCCACTGCCTGTTTTCTCAAGTGGTCCCACTTAATGTTACCTTCTCTCTCCTTTCCAACTTGTTTTCTTGAAGTAGCAGGTTTCATCTCTTTGAACTCCTTGCTAAATGAATGATCATAGTCCTTTGGATTTGACTGTGTTGCTATTTCTGTAGGAGTTGGCAAAAAATTTGGTGGAATTTCATGCAGATTATTTGTACATTCTGCTGGCGATTCAACATTTTGAGGGTCTTCAATCACACTGCCTTGAGACTGTAAGGTCAAACTTGGCTCCTTTACATTGATGCTTAATTCACTACTAGATAATGGAGCTTCATGGATATCTAGTTCTATTTCAACATTGGTACGATTGTCGGATTCAACAGTCAGTGTACTTTGTTCAGACTGAAAATGTTCGTCCTTGTTCTGGCAAACATAAGAAGTTTGAACTCCATTGCACGTCTGACAGCAGTCATCCTCCAATGATTCCGAGGTGTGGTTTATCTGCATTTGATAGCCACTCAAATGATTGGCAGAATCTTTTACGGCTATTTCATGATCATCTGGTTGGAAAGTGTCTTCTATTCCATCGTCACGCTTCTTTCCCGCTAATTTGTTGTTGTTGGTGTTTTCTGACTGATCAACAGAAGTATCAATAGTGAAATGAGCATTTAAAGTATTTAGTCCAGCCATCTGCATAAGCCCCTCTGATGAAGAGTCTACCTGTGCCTCTTTGGAACAGCTTGGTAGATTTTTTGAGTTGCCTTCCAAGGATGGTTCAATGCTCTCACTGGTTTGAGAAATTGATGAATCCAAGCAGTCTTGAAATGAGAATAAATCAAATGTTTCTCTCTCTCCAGAGAAACACGCTTGCATAGTGCTGGTTCCAGTCAATGATATTTCTCCCACATAATTGTTACATGTCTCAGGAGTGTTATGAGATGAACTAAAAATTTTATTTTCTGGTTCCTTGTTTGAGCTCACACCCTCAGCATTACTTCCGGAAGATTCATTGTTGTCAAGAATTATTTGTCCTTCACCTTTTTCCATTTCATTTTTCATCAAGGAGCCCTCTTCACTTATTTGTTGGAGCATTATATGTTTGCTCAATTTCATGTCATCCTCTAAATTCAACATGTATTCTTCCGGTTCATCCAACTCTATAATTGGCTCTTGATAGCATGCTTGGTGATACTTTGGCTTAGGAGGAAAGCGTGCAGCAAGAGACATGAAGGCAGAGCTGCCAACATCAGAAGGAGTTAGTAAAAGCAAGGGGAGAGATAAAGATTACTTTGAATTATACTACTTAGGTCACGCCATTTAACAGTCTAGCTTACCTAGAAAGGTGATCTGAGACATTCTGAGTCAGGAATACTCCAACCACGGAGTCCACAACAGATCCCTTCCATTGAGAGAAGCGCCTGTCTCCTGGAGAAATGCAATTATGTCAGTGCTCGGCTTGATCGTCAAAGTAGTTGCTACAGTAACCAGTGAAATATGCCTAGACTAAACCTTCATGCAAGTTAATTTTTAATTTGGTTTTTAAATACATATATCTGTGCAGAAGCAGGAGACTTCCAATCCTAGGAACTTGATTTTCTGTTTAATCCCCTCCAACAAGGAATATACAAGAATGTATGTCACAACTCACAAGCACAAACTTCTAAGTCGAGGAATTTGACTTCCTGTTTAATTCATACAAGAAGGTATGTTAAAGGTGTTATTTCTCTATTAACCTTCCTCTTACTCTCTCTTCTTTCTTGCCTGGATTTGTTTTCCAGGATTATTATAATACTCCACAACTCATAATTGCAATTGTCTTATGAACTTGTCCTAATGTGAAGCTAACGCATACATTGGAGTTTGTTATTCATTTGATGTCTACGTGGAGTTCAAGAAGTAACTCTCAGTGGTTGGTTAAGAGTTGAATAATTTATGTTGTACCTTGAACAAGATGCATCCGAGCAATAAATGAATCTGCTCGCCCTCTAAACACCCTCCTCTCTTCTTCCCACCATTTGATCTTTTCTTCATCTGTTCCATCAATGCCTTCGCTGTTTATATTTCCCATCAGAAGCTTCCATACTCTACCAGTCTCTTCATCAAGCTCGACTTTAGGCCGTGGGCGTCGTTTCTTTATAGGATTAAATGGCACAATAGTTCCATCTCTTCCATAAATGACAATGGCATTCTGCTCCTGATTATGCATGTTATAAGGTACGAGTGCTTCCTCTGTGTATACAAAATTGTTGCTTTCCTTGTTGATGTCTAGATGCTTTAATTGTTCAACTATGGCATCAATAAAGCACATTTGATTGCCATGTTCTGAAGTAGTGCCTGTATAGGAAAAAAGAAAAATTCTTTAAATGAGTGAATATCTTGAGCATTGGGAAAGAAAGTATTAATTGTGGTACCTAATGTTTTGGGAAAGAATTGGTAAGGATTGAAGGATACAAATCTGCTGTCCTGAAGACCTTTATTCATATTGAGAAGTGCTGAATTTGTAGGAAAGTTCTTCTTGCTTCGTTTCTTCTTTGCCACTGTTCCATGCAACTTCTCGAATAGTGCATTTATGCATGGTCGAGATGTATTGATGTTTTTTTCAGCATGTTCCACGGGAGGTCGATTAGTTGGATGTATTGGCTCTCTCTCACAATCAGCAAGTCTTGCTGGTGGAGCCAAGTCACGCAGTCGTTTGGTTGTTCTGGGTCTTTTTTTCGTTCTCTCAGTCTGACCTAAAGCCGTGATACTTCCATATATTTGCAACTCATCCAGAAGGTCCTTTCCTCCACGTGCAGCTGCAGTTTTACTTTTACAAGTATTTAACTGAGTTCCAGCTATCCAGCAGTGGTTGGATTTTGATAACATGTGATTTTTCTGGGGATCATTGATAGAGCATGCACTTTCTGGCCCCATGAAATGTGTTGCTGCAGTCGCACAAGTAAATGCACTAGATGTGACTGGGTTCTGCCCCTTCTCAGTTCTTTTTTTCTTGTAAATATGGGGAAAATGAATCCAGGACATCGACTGATATGCAGATAATGTATTGTAATGGGCCCCTGTTAAATTTATGCTCCCGCCATCTGCTTGTTTGATGGTCTGAGAACGTTTTCTCTGGCAACAAGGTGCTTGCACCTTCTCAGTCAAAGTGGAGTTCGTGCAGGAGATAAGACCATTTGGACTTCTTGGTAATGATTGATTATCATCATTGAGCATGGTTTCTACCATGTTTCCTTTTTCAGAACTGGAAATTACTTTATCATTTTGTTCTGTATTGTTCTCAATTTGGTTGTTTGTAGGCAGTCTTCTCTCAGGAGAACTATGTACAGCTGAAATTCCAGCTGACGAGGCTTGTTTTTCAGGCAAAGACTTGTAGCTTTTTAGAATTTGATTCATGGACCAGTTTGGATCACTGGAAGAGCCTACTTCTTCAAGCCTCACTTCCACAAGTCCTGTAGTTGATTCAATGTTCTGGGTGAGTGAATCTTGTTCCAGTGGGCCTGAATTGAATGATCTGCACAAAGTGCTTTCATCTCTTGTATGGGCATGAGAGTCAAAATTTATGGCCCTTTTGCATGACTTCATCTTAGGCTTAAGCACTTCTTGGTCTGAGGTTTCACCTGTTACTTCTATTAGGGGAGTTGCTGAAGGCTTACTGGGTCCACTTTTCCTGACACGCTTTCTCGAACTTGGATTGGAACCAGGGGTCTTTGAGTTTGGTCTTGTTCTTTTAGTTTTTCCTTCAATTATAACCTTAGGTCTGTGTTTTCTCCTTCTCTGTCTTTGTGCTGGTGTTTGGTTCAGGTTAACAGTATGCATACCTTCTTTTCCATCTGGGGTACATGTAACAGTAATTGTTGAATGTATTGCAGGTTCAAGAAGTTCTTTATCTTTGCTCAGGTTCTCACCATCAATTGTTATTGAATTATCACAGTTGTGGTTCTGTTCTCTCTCATCTCTGATGTTTTCAGTTGGTAGCTGCTGTACTTCTGCCGCCATTTCGGTATATTTACTCTTGCCCATATCTGGTGTCGGAGGTGCAAACTGGGAGGTGATTCTAATAGCAGCTGCATTTGACTCTGTCCCAGATGGAAAATTGAGGTCATAAGCATGCTGGCAACGATCAGATATTTCATCTGTAAATTTTCAGGTACTAAATTTCAGAACACTGAATGTCAACAACGATGAACTTAGAGGTTTGTCATATTATTCATAATAGGAACATATTATAATTACATTCTTTTTTACATGGCACAAGTAGAAGGAATATGACTTTAAACTAATTGAAGCATGTAACAGCAGCCAGAAAAACAATGGAAGAACTTCACAGAATGCTGGAAAGTGAAATAAATAAAATGTACATGCCAGAAATCAACTAATAACCGGAAGTATCCTCCATTTTCTATCAGTTTTCTCCCACCAATTCTCTAATATTCTGTTAGATTGGCTCAATTTCCCCAAAGATTTACACTTTTTATACTATAGCGCTGTTCTGATCTCACCAGTGTTATCTTTTTATTGCTTCTTGTATTTGTACATAAAAGACTATTAATTATTCAAGCATCAAAATCAAACCATATTTAAGAATCCCAAGTGTAAATTACTTTGATTTAAACTAGTTGGACTTACACCCTGCGGCTTCAGGTATGCAGCTGCCATTGAGACGACCCTTCATAGAGCTAAACTCCAATCCAATTTGAGAGCTGGACCCATAATCGAATAGATCGCTTGAATTGCCACCCAATGCGGCATCAGCACCCACAGTAGTAGCCGCATCTGCCAGTGCCATTAGCTGCAAAAAAGGTATGCCCCCCAATGCTTCAATAGAATTCATCGCCACTGTTCCATTATCATCACTGGGTACTTGGAATTGCCCAGCTGAAGCTGCTTCCCAGACGTAAGAACCATTAGCTCCCATGGAATTAGCTCCACCGTAACATGCAACTCCACTGCTGGCTTCAGCTTCGTTGGTAGAGCCGGAGGAGAGTCTCTCCGATCCCAACCAGTGCGGCCTTGGTTGATTCCGGTCCATCCTTGCATAGATCAGCGGCTGCAGCGGCGGTTTTGGTAGAATGGGCTTCATGGGTGTCGCCGGAATCCAAGAACCACCTTGAACATGGACTTCATTTCCTTCAGGTTTGCCGGAATCCATTATTTTGCGTTTACCCAAGCAGAGGAGCCAAAATTGTCCTCAGCTTGCTTCTCTTTTCCCGGCAAAGGTATGTCTCTCTCTCTTTTAATGTAATTCTCTGTTCACTGTGAGAAAACGCGACAAGTTTAGAAATTTCATGGAGTTTCTTAGGACAGAGAAACCCAAAAAGCCAGTTTTGTGTTTCAGCTCAAACAGATCGTAGCTGAAATTTAGTACAAAATTAGACTTGACGATTAAAAACCCATCTGAATTAAAGATCTCCCTTGAAAAACCCTGCTCCTCTTTCATGGCAACATAAACTGCCGACTTTCAAAAATGGGTGAAGGTAGAAGAAAGTAGAGAGAGAAATAGAGCTCCAGTCCACAGCTTCAATGATCATTGAAATAGAAGACGAGGAAAAAATAAAAATGAAAATAAAAAAAACCCAGAAAGCCTCAATATTTCCCCTTCCCTTCCATTACTAGATTAATTAAGCTGAAAAATTAGCATACTTTCAGGCGAATAGTTACCGGAGGACTGAGTCAATGTCGGCGAGATCTGAGTAACTACTCACCGGAAGGCCCAGAAATCTTTATCTTCCTCCAACCCTTTCACTCTCTATCTCTTGTTAGGAGAGAATTGATAAAGAAAACCAAACAAAAAGATAGAGGGTTTTATATATTTGCAGAGCTCTTTGATCAGTTGATTACTTATTTTCTTCTTGGCCATTCTCACCTTATGTTTTCAGTACCGTATCAGGAGCTGTACAAAAGTTTCTTTCGTCCCATGAAGATATATCATGCATGGTTTGTTAGGTTACGTTCTTACAATTCTGATATTAAAATATTCGTAAATATTTTATAAATTTCAACGAGACCTTACCATTCTCGTTGACTTTATTATATAATATATATAATTTTTTATTTCAGTAGGTACCTTTTGATGCATAGTAGATTTGGATAGATTTCTTTCTCTTTTTTTTATTTTTATTTTATTTAAAAAGTAATTGTTTTGTTGTTTTATTAAAATAATAATTTAGTTATTAAACTTTAGTATGAAATCATTTAATCTTCAAATATTAATATGTAATAATTTAATTTTTATAATTTAAAATTTGTAATAATTTAGTTAGTATAATACAAAATTTTGTGGAGTATTTTATATGTGTGCATCGATAAATCGATGAGGGATCAAATATATTTATAAATTACAAAAATTAAATCATTATATAATAAAAATCAATATAGATGTTTTAGGGTAGGAATTAAATTATTATAAATTTTAATTATAGAGATTAAAGTTTAAGGGATTAATTGTTATTATGGACTACCTTGTTATATATGATAGTTACCTCCGTTAAACTACATGTACTAAATATATTTTTTAACCTGTAATTTTTTATTGGCTACTGATAATTGGGGGTGGGAACCAGGCACAAAATTGGAAATATAATATAATTAACCACCACGGTACATTAAGCGTCGAAACTACGAACAAACACGTGAGCTAACGAAAAACTAAGAGGCTGACGTGGCAACGTAGTGTTGATATTTGGCGCGTGTTAGGGGTCAGAAGTCCCGAAGGTACGGTCGTCCGATTTTAACGACAAATCTACGACGTTAAAGATTTGACGTTAAGACCAAGAAAGTGCTATATGTATTCCCTCTTATCCAATCGTAAAATTCCATGCCGTGACAGAATCGTTAGTGGTCCCCCTCTGGGCTTTGGAGTAGTAATCTAATGTGGACACGCTCTTTGCTTTTGATGGCTTGATGATGATCGTCATCAAGCGGTGGTGAGTCGTCTACATATTTTATTAATGATATGCAATATTCTTGGTTACTTAAATGCAATAAAATATTTATTTTTTTACGTACAACTTTTTTAAAAATAATCAATAGTCTTTAGAATAGATTAACAAAATTATTATTATGGAAAAATGTAACTATAATACATTTTAAGTTATTTACTTTATTCTAATCTCTAATAGACTATTTTCTGGTTTTATATTTCCATTATCTTTTATTCATATGTTTTAAATGATTAATTTTAAGTCAATAATGAATTTAACTCAAGGATAATTGATACCTGGATCAAGTAGACAGGAGTTTGAATTTTTTTATCCTTATTTATTGTATTGAAAAAAAATTAATTTTAACAACTTTTATTATTATTTAATTTTGAACGAGAAATTTTTTAACTCAGATTGTAGGTTTGTGACCTATCACGTTAGTTAGTATTTTTTCTCTTTGGGGTAATAGACAACTATTTTGATCTACTATTGGGTTTGAATTTTTTTTTTTTAGCATTATGGTAGTACAGATATTTATATTTATGGTTATGTTAGTGTTATTTATGAGAAAATTTTCTTAGGCCATAATAAATTAAAATATATAAATGAAATGGAAACTTTAAAAAGTGAAAATTGAAAATAATACAAAAATAATTTTAACTTTTTTTGGGGGTTGGGGGTTGGGGGTGGAGGAGAAAACGGCAATCGTTTGGTAACCGTAGTATGTAACGGCAACCTGGTTGAATACGGCAGGCAAACGGAAACTACCGAACTTCGTCAGCAGACGGTGTAATTTCTGTGAGTCAATACCTCCATTTGCGTGCCTTGTGAGTCTGAGGGAATCTTCCGAATTTTTCCATCTTTTGGCCTATTCTAATTCATCTTGTTTCGGGGATTTGATAACTTCACCCGACGAATCACCGGAACTGTGTGCTACCATTCTCCATGATCGACACGTGTAATCAGGCACTGCGCTGGCCGCCTTTTATTTTCCCAATCCCGGCCCATTGGCCATACCTTTCTTCTTATCTCAAAAATTCAAAATTATTATATATTATTCCATTGTTTTTATTAGGTTAAATTACCAACGAAAAAAAAAACACCTCTCAACTTTGCTCTTGGTTTAAAAATAGTCTTGCTGTTTCATTTTATTTTATCATTTTAAAAGTTTTAATACAATCCTTGATTCTTTAGAAACGTTTTAAAATATCATTTAAAAAAATATCGGTTAATATTTTAAACAAAAAATTGACATGGCAAAATATAGAATTATATGAAAATTAACGTCTCAAATACGTTTCCACGTTAATTATCACGTCGTTTCAAATTTGTTGTGTAAAATATTAGTGGATATTTTCTTAAAAGGTATTTTTGAAAATTTATGAAGGGTTAATACTAGTATTGAAACTTTTCACTTTTTTGAAAGTATAAAATAAAATATCTTTTAAACAAAAGAAAATATTTAGTGATATATTATGTAATTTAGCCTTTTTATCGTGGAGTAAAATACAGTATATTTAATTTCCGTTTGATAATATTTTGTCCTTAGTTTATTTTCTAAGAATATATATTTTTTTCCCTCATGTTTTCATTATTTTACTTTTCCAATTTAAAAATGCATCTAAACTTTAGCTATATTTTAAAAATAAAAACTAGATTTTTATAATTTTGTATATTTTTTTATGCAAAGCAAGTTTTTTGAAAATAAATAAATCAAAACTGTACCGATTATTACTTAAAAGATAGATTTTTTATACTATCAAAATTGATTAAATATTTATATGTATGTGTATGCGTGCATATGTTAGGAACTTTTTTAAATAATGTTTTTTCTGGAACTATTTCCAAAAATATACTATCCACCAACAAAATAGATTGTCGTCTCCTCAAGAGACAACAACCTAATTTTACATGGCAGGGATGATCATCTCTTGAAGAAACCACTGGTTAGCTTTTTTTTCTCTTAAATTTCAATATCTTTTCTTGAAAAGACAACCATTGCTTCAATTTAGCCACGTATTGAAGAAGATATGACTTGTAGTTGTTTTTTTTTTCCCTGAAAATCTCTTTACGGCACTCCCAAGATTTTATTTAAAAAAAACGAACTTTAAATTAAATTTAATTAAAAAAAATCTAACAAAATCTTAAAACAAACCAATTAGTAAGAAATCTATTTTTTTAAAATAAACTCTAAATTAAATTTAACTTAAAAATCTAACAAACTCTTAAAATAATTCAATTTAAAATTCAATTTAACTGATCAAGCATTCAAAATTTAAATTAAATATATCGATAAAAAAAATTAAATCAAATGACACCTTCCCATAAATATTAATGGAAAGGCTATCATGAAAAATTTTTGTTTAGAATTGTTATGTGGATGTTAAGTCTAGATGTCGTGGTGAAGGGAACACGAGTAAATGAGTGATTAGCCAATTAGAGATTCAACACTTTATTTGTTGGTTGAGAATCCCATAGAATAATTATAACTAGAATCCATGCTACATATGAACTAATTAAAAAAAAATAGATTTACAATTTAAATGTTTAATAATAACGATTTTTTTTATTAGTTTGTTTCTAAGATTTTGTTAGAATTTTTTAGTTAAATTTAATTTAAGGTTTTTTTGTTTTTGTTTTTTTGGGTTTTAAATCCATCTTTCTATATTTGATTTCGGTAAGATTTTGATAGATTATTTTAGTTAAATTTAATTTAAAATTTATTATTATTATTTTAAATTTATCTTTTTATAATCAATTTATCTTTTAAAATTTTGTTATATTTTATAGTTAAATTTAATTTCAAATTTGTTTAAAAACATAGATTTTTTTTAATAATTGATTTGTTTTAAGATTTTGTTGAGTGGTTTTAGTTAAGTTTAATTTAAAAACAATAAAATCTTGAAAATGTCAGGTATCGGAAAGGCCTGCAATAGGTATTGCATGTTGGCCACGTATTGCAAGCCTTTTTTTTATTGCAGTTCTTTTTTTTTACAAGTTGTTTCTCCTGTAATATGTACTGCATGTTGGCCACATATTGCAGGTTCTTTTTCTCGTAAAAACAAACCTACAATACGTATATTGGCCATGTATAACAGATTTTTTTAAGATTTAAAATACGTGACCAATCCCAAAAACGGACTATGTAATGTACTTTATCTGCTGGGTTACGGGTGGGCATTTTACCAGAGGTTTCTATTATATCAATCTACCATTGTTTAATTCCTGTTGGAGCATATACTCGGAGGGTGGGTGCAGGGGACATGTAGAGATGACATATTGGAAAAAATAATAATAAAACTCAGTTACCCATGTTGTTTCTTTAAGAGACGACCCACTATTTTATTATTCTTGAATAATTTTGTGGAGAATATATTTTATGAAAGTAGTTTAAGAAAAAAACATTATTAAAAAAAAGTTCTCGTATATTCTAGTATTAAGATTGTATGCAATCATAAACGATTTATTTAAGATTTGTTAGATTATTCTAGTAAATTTAATTTTAGGTTTTTTTAGTTTTTTAAATTCTTTTTTATAATCGATTTTTCTTTTAAGATTTTGTTATATTTTATAGTTCAATTTGATTTAAATTTGTTTAAAAAACATAGGTTTTTTTTAATAATTGATTTGTTTTAAGATTTTGTCAGATTGTTTTAGTTAACTTTAATTTAAAGTTTGTTTTTTTAAGAAAAATAATATAATATTGGAAGTGAAAATAGAAACAGTTACAATACTTGCGTATTGCATGTTGGCTACGTACTGTAGGTCTTTTTTTACAAACCTCTTATTGCTTGTAGCCAACATGTAGGGATGAAATATTGAGATTTAAAAAAAATAAAATAAAACTCAGTTACTCATGTTGTTTTAAGAGACGACTCACTATTTTTATTATTCTTGAATATAATTTTGTGGAGAATATATGGGTGAAAGTAGTTTTAGAAAAAAAAAACATTATTAAAAAAATTGCCCTATATTTG